GGAGATTGCACTCAGCTTCATTTGTACACATACCTAAGAAGACTTGGGCGTGGCGGTGGGTAACACATGCTGAATACTTGTAATCCTAAAAAGAAATTTGGTTAGTGTATTTGACGACATATTTACGTTTAATACCGAAATGTTATTTTCATTATTATTATTATTAGTAGTAGTAGTAGTAATAGTATTCAGTCTACACGTAAACGTTTTAAGTCAATTAAATATTGCTCATTTTTATACTTGGGTCAATAGGTAAGCACTATTAGTGTTTATATTTAAGTCTATTTTTAAACATTATCCGAATGTGTACATTTTACTACTGTTTATACTTGAGTCTATAGGTAATCACAAGTAGTGTTCATAATTAAGTCTGTTGATACACATTGTTCTTTCTTATACTTCAGTCTATATGTAAATATTATTATTGTTTTACCTGAATTTATAGGTAAATATTACTAACATTTGTACTTTAGTCTATATGCATACGCTACTAAGTTTTATATTTGAGGTAAAATACAAACATTACTAGCCCATATACTTGAGTCTATATATAAACGTTACTAGTGTTTATGCTTCAGTCTATAAGCAAATGTTATTAGTGTTTATACTTGAGACTACAGGTAGGAATTTGTAGTGTTTATACACAAATCTATAGGTAAACACATTTGCAGTGTTTATACTTGAGTCTATAGGTAATCACAGATAGTGTTCATATTTAAATCCGTTGGTAATCATTGACCTTTCTTATACTTGAGTCAATATGTAAATGTAATGTGCTTATACATGAGTCTATAGGTGAATGTGACTTGTGTTTATACTTGAGTTTATATGCAGACGTTACTAGGGTTTATACTTGAGGTAAAATGTAAAGGTTACTAGTTTTTATACTTCAGTCTATGTGTATCTGTTATTAGTGTTTATAGGTAAACATTTATACTCAAATCCATAGGTAATCACATTGGCAATGTTTATAATTTAGTCTATACGTAGTCACAGCGAGAGTTCATATTTAAGTCTATTGGTACACAATGGTCTTTCTTATACTTGAGTCTATATGTAAATGTAATTAGCGTTTATACTTGAGTCTATATGCAGACATAACCAGGTTTCTACTTGAGGTAAAATGGAAAGATTACTAGTATTTATACTTGAGACTATAGGTAAACATCTTAGTACTTATACTCAAATCTATAGGAAATCGCAGGTAGTGTTTATATTTAATTCAATTGGTACACATTGGTCCTTCTTGATACTTGAGTCAATATTTAAATGTTATTAGTCTTTATACTTGAGTCTGTATGTGAATGTTTCTTGTGTTTATACTTGTGTCTATATGCAGGCGTTACTCGAGTTTATACTTGAGGTAAAATGTAAATGTTACTAGTATTTATAATTGACTCTTTATATAAACGTTACTAGTGTTTATACTTCAGTCTATATGTAAATGTTAGTAGTGTTTATACTTGAGACTATAGGTAAACATTTGTAGTGTTTATACTCAGATCTATAGTTAATAAAATTTACAGTGTTTATGCTTGAGTCAATACGTAACCACAGGGAAAGTTTAGTTTATTTAATTCTACTGGTATACATATTTTTTTTTTATATTTGAGTCTGTATGTAAACCTAACTAGCGTTTATATTTGAGTATATATACAGACGTTACTAGGGTTTATACTTGAGACTATAGGTAAACATTTTAGTATTTATATTCAAATCTATAGGAAATCGCAGGTAGTGTTTATATTTTATTCAATTGGTAAACATTAGCCTTTCTGATACTTGGGTTAATACTTAAATGTTATTAGTGTTTATACTTGAGTCAATATGTGAATGATTCTTGTTTTTATACTTGAGTCTATATGCAGCCTTACTCAAGTTTATACTTGAGGTAAAATGTAAATGTTACCAGTATTTATACTTGAGTCTATATCTATACGTTACTATTCTTTATACATGAGACTATAGGTAGACATTTTTAGTGTTTATACCCAAGCCTATGTGAAATCACAGGTAGTGTTTACATTTATGTCTACTGGTAAACACTGGTCATTCTTATACTTGAGTCTAAATGCAAATGCCATAAGTGTTTTTTTTTTTATTTGAAACGTTTCTAGGGTTTATACTAGAGTCTATATGCAAATGTTACTAGTGTTTATACATGGTTCTTCAAGGAAAATCTTACTAGTTTTTATACTGGTGATTGTATGTAAACGTATTGATGTTTACTTGAGTCTGTAGGTAAAAAAAGAATGCTGTCTATACTTGAGTCTATATGTAATCACAGCTAGTATTTATATTTTGAGTCTGTAGGTAAATATTGGCCTTGTTTGTACTTGAGTCAATATGTAAAGTGTTTATACTTGAGACTATAAGTAAGCTTTTTTAGTGTTTCTTTTTCAGTCTATAGTCTCCTCATTGTCTGTGAGGAAATTGTCCAGCATTTACTGCCATATAGAAGCTTTGATATTAAATATATTTAAAAATGCACTCTTTTTTATGATATCTGTAAAAAGGAAAAAAGCCAAAAAGAAAACTAATCTTAGCCGACACTTTTCGCCCGCTGAAGGACTTTATGAAGGCAAATGTAAGCATTTAATTTTGGTTTGGTTTGGTTTGTTTTGTTTTACGGCATATCAACACCTCAATGGGTTATTAAATGCCGACAAGTGTTTTATTGCCAGTAATATTTTTTTTTCCAATAATGTATTGCTGGTAATAATTTTTTTCCTTAAAAAATGATTGCTAGTAATGATTTTTTAGAAAAATGTATTGATGGTATTAAAACCTATTTTTACACTTTCATAGCGTTTTGACCGCAGTTTGGGGTTAACTATTTGCCCGTAGCTGGGACCCTAACAGGTGCTACCGCCCCGGTTCGAGCTGAACCTGGGAACACCAGCAATTAAGAGGTGGTTACACGCTCTTCAAAGCTTTGCTGCCGGATGTCGTTTATCGTCTTACCCAGGACACGGACGTTGTTTTTCTTCTTAACCAGGCCGCCTCATTTTATTTTGGCGGGGTGGGGGTCTTACCACTTTGCAGAAGTGCAGTCAGCGTATTTTGAAGCCCCAGCTGACAAAGTGGGATTTAATTTTATTCTTTAATTTTTTTACTCATTTTCACCCAATACAAGGCCCAACAGCCACTCCAGGTAGAAGGTTACTTTGTGGGCGTTGTATTAGCATAAGAAAGGGCAAGAAGGAAAGTTCTTGGTGCTATGCAGAAAAATAATGGCCAACTCTAAACTTGAAATAAGGGATGAAACTCTACTCCTGTTCAAACCGGACGACAGGATTTTATTACAAGTGTTTATATACAAGAGCAAAAATGTTAAATTCTATCACCTTACGTCCATGAACTTGTTTGACTTTTCCGCTAACCTGATGAATATACTTGAGCAACCTTATACCAAATATTTTTATAAATCCATAACATTTTTGCTGTTGTATATAAATACAAAATAAAATTCTTATATTTGCCTTGATAAAGTTCCTCAGAGCACTAAAGGCGTCGGCTAAAATAAGTTTTCATTTTGTTTTGTTTTTGTTTTAATTCTTTTATGTGCGTTTAAATTCAGTCATAAGTCACCCTGGAGAAAGGTATCATCCACAGCGAGAAAAAAAAATTAATGTTGATATTTCTACCTACCGTATACTTGGTTGAAAGGCGAAAAAAGAGAGAGAGGAAAATATTTTAGTCCTTTTATAGTACTTAAACACCGCCACCTAACGGAGTCTTGGCAGACCAAGTGGGGGTAATACCCACCAGTATATGCGAAATGACGACGTTTTAAATCGAACAGGAACTGCACGAAGCTGTTGTTATTGATCAGAATTAGACAACGGAAGCGTTGAAAAAAAGGAGGAGAGATTGTTTGGAGAAATTAAAATTCGCAAGGCATATTGAGAGCAAGACTTCTCATTCTTTTATAGTACTTAAACACTGCCACCTAACGACGTTTTGTCAGACCAAGTGAGGGTAATCCTTACCAGCATATGAGAAATTAAGATGTTTTATGGAGAATAGGAACTACAAAAAGATGTTATTAATAATAAGAAATAGAAAGCTGAAATTTTGAAACATAAAAAAGGTTCGGAGAAATTAATATTCATAGGGCATATTGAAGGCAAGGGGAGACATTACGTCACCTAGCAACAAGTTTGAGTAAATGGATGAAAGAGAGTTTAGGGTTATCTTCCTCATAAATCCGCATAAACTGTGTCCTTTACTCAATAATACTCGACCTCGAGTGGCTCCTGGGCCTTGTAAAAGGCGAAAATGATTGCAAAAAAAAAAAAAATGCGGAATCAAAGAGTATAAAGACGAATGGTTGGTAAACAGAAGCTTTTGGGCAATGTAAAACAGGAAGATGGCGGACCCTGATTACCAACTTACTGAAAGGACATAGCATATAAAAGGACACACAGAACGGGTTTATACGTGTTGGACAATAGCGTTATTTTTTAGTTATTTTTTTTTTTTAAATGTCTTTTCAAAATTGCGAAAAGCAATGAAAAGGAAAGAAAATAAAAAATGAATTTCTGCTCTCGGCATGTTCGGACAGCTGGAATGAAAATAAATGAGAAAACCGAATGTCAAGTTTTGGTTTCATGAAAACAAAAGACGTTATTTGTTTGCAATCTATTTTTTTTTTTGAGTGTGTATAAATATGGGGGACTCTCGCCACTGTCCTGTAAAACAATGGCGACGTTCACTTGGTAATTTCCTGCGTTCTTATTGCTCGTGAGAGCTTGCAGCGAAAACGAGGCTGAAAAACACAGTCACGTGATATCAGTGGTGAGGTTGTCTGAAAAAAATCACAAACTGACTTTCGAGTAGTATTAAATAAATTACCATACGTTCACACACACACACACACATATATATATACACATACTTGTGAGTGTGTATACATATCGTAATACATTGTCTACATGTAAAGAGAATCTCATTAAAAGAACTTTTATATTTACAAGATATTTACATCTGAATTTTATATGGAAAATATCTATCTATCTATCTATCTATCTATCTATCTCAGAATATTCATTATCTATCTATCTAAGAACATTCATTATCTATCTATCTATCTATCTATCTATCAGGGTCTTTTTCTTTATATCTATCACAGTCTTTTTCTATCTATCTATCTATCTATCTATCTATCTATCTATCACCTAAGTTAAGCAATGTTGAGCCTTGACGGATGGCCGCATGGGAAACACCAGATGCTGCCAGGTGGGATGTGCGGGTGGTCTAGCAGATAATGGCTCGGAATTGTCATCGGCGGCGGGAAACCGATTGTAGTCAAGTTGCCAGATCCGGACAAATAATATAGCAGATTCTTCTTTGGATTTTATCAAGAGACTCTATGTAGATATCAGGGGTACCGGACCATATGTGGCAACAATATTCTAAGCATGAACAAATGGTAAACTTACAGATATGCAAGATAGATTCTGTCTATATTTCTTAGATGAGGTATTATGTACACTATTTACATTATTCGGACTATTGTCCTCATCTTTGTTGCCATATTTATTACAACGTTTCGGCCGTTATACGCTCTTGCCTTCTTCAGATGGTTAGAATGTCGAACTGAACCCTTCATTTCGTTCACTGGGGTAGACTGTTCTAGTTCCACGTGCCATGTTTAATGGATGCCAGTTATCAGTTATCTCCTGTTAATTCCCCTCTCCAAGTTCTCCACCGCCACAGTCTACTCCAGTGAGCGAAATAAAGGGTTCAGTTCGACATTCCAACCACCAGAAGAAGGCTGGAGCGTACAACGGCCGAAACGTTGTAATAAATATGGCAACAAAGATGAGGACAATAGTCCGAATAATGTGAATGGTGTTTTAAAATTCTTCAGTTTTTTAACAAGAAAAATCTCAAGTCGATATTAAAAATTGCCACAAAACATTGTTGATTTATTTAAGAAGGACTTATACGTCTAGTCGAGGTATACTTCAAGGTGCCTCAGTTTGAAAAAAAAATAGTCTGAAAATGTAACATTTTTCCCAAAAATAATCTTTCTTGAAAAGAAAATCAACCTCCTCTATTAAGTGTTTCAAGAAATATAACTCAAAATAAACCGTTTCGAAATGGGAATTGCGATATGGAATTGAAACGGAAGCAGTGATGGCTTCGATACCCTGAATCGATCATAAAAATTCAGGATGTGGAATTAGTTAATTAGTTAACACTTCAGATACCTCGGTGTATTTATTGGTTATTTATAACAAATTTAGTATAGTACAAAAGGAAAATAAACACAGAACAGTCTTCGATAGGCATAGCATATGGATAACAATAACAGAAAATATTTGAGTGTTGTCTTTAAATAGACTGGTTAGATCGAGACTTTTATGTGGATGTCATTTCGAGGCGCAAAATATATTCTCCCGCTTTTGCACCAAGTGCTTCTTCATCTTCGAAAATCAGCTGGCGCCCAAACGACCGTACCAAACGCCAGTGCCCGAACAGCCACACCCAAACGCCAGGGCCCAAATGTCTGCGCCCAAACGACCACTCCACAAAAGTAATCTCCCAAACGTCTGCGCCTAAAACGACCCCCCGAAAACCTCTGCGCCCAAACAGGCGTGCCAGACGCCAGCGCCCAGACGCCAGCGCCCAAACGTCTGCGCCCAAACGGCCACGCCCAAAGGACCGTGCAAAAGAGTGTTTCCCAAACGGCCACACCCAAACACCAGCTCCCAAACATCTGCTCCCAAACAGCCACACCCCAACCGTAAGCTTCCAAACGTCTGCGCCCAAACGACCACACCCCAAAGTAAGCTCCCAAACATCTGCGCCTAAACAGGGGTGCCAGACGCCAGCGCCTAAACAGGGGTGCCAGACGCCAGCGCCTAAAGAGGCGTGCCAGACGCCAGCGCCTAAACAGGGGTGCCAGACGCCAGCACCCAAACGGCTACGCTCAAAGAACCGTGTCAAACGCCAGCGCCCAAACGGCCACGCTCAAAGGGGCAAAACGGCCACACCCAAACACCAGCTCCCAAACGTATGCGCCCAAACGACCACACCCAAGCGTAAGCTCCCAAACATCTGCCCCCAAACAGGCGTGCCAGTGCCCATAAAGGCGTGCCAGACGCCAGCGTCCAAAAGGCTACGCCCAAAGGACCGTGCCAAACGCCAGCGCCCAAACATCTGCGCCCAAACGGCCACGCCCAACGGACCGTGCGAAATCGCGTTTCCCAAACGGCCACGCCCAAACGCCAGCGTCCAAACGACTGCACCCAAATGACCGTGCTGAACGCTAGTACCCAAACTGCTGCGCCCAAACGACCTTACTAATTGCAACCAATTGTTCCATTCTTATTACTTGAAGTTACAATAGTGCAAGAGAAATTAAAACATTTCAGCATTGCAGGACGAGTTTACGAATAGGCCTGGTCATCGAGTTGGGGATTTAGTTCATGTCGATGGGAGACATATTGATTATGCTTTTAATGTCCTTGAATCTTACTTATTATAAAACGCAGATTGTGTGTGTGTGTGTGTGTGTGTCTGTACGTTTATATATTGGATCGGATTTCCTACATTTTTCAACCGATTTCAATAAAACTTCACAGGACTGCGTAAAATTACCTTGCGGTGGTTCTGACAGCACCAAAAATTGGAAAAACACAATTGTTTTTGCACGAAATCAATTTGAAAACACAATTCTGTCGCCAGAATGAAAGGGGGACAACTTATATCGAGTTATACTGATAAAACCCAGGTTGTGTGTGTGTGTGTGTGTGTGTTCGTTTATATATGGGATCAGATTTCCTACATTTTTTAACCGATTTCAACAAAACTTCACTTTTTTTGGCAGGTAGTGTTTCTTATCGTCTTGCACACTTTTTTCTTTATTTTTACATTCAGAATGCTTTAAAAATCCATTTACAAGACAATTGTTTATAATAAAATTCTATTCAATCGGTAGACTCATAACGATTGAAAACAATGTTTTTGTTTGAGTTTGACCAATTCATAAAAAAACAAAACAAAACAAAAAAAAAAAAAACTAATTAAGACATGCGTGTCCGTCAACCTTAAACAATAATCTTTGTCAATTTTATTTTTCAGTCTTTATGATGGTCGATACTTGATCTATCTCTTACTGTTACATCCCCGGGCAACGCCGGGCTCTACTGCTAGTATCTAAATAAATTTCCACTGGTGGTCCATAACTTTTATATAACCGATTTCCAGACGATGATTGTAGCCTCAATTAATTCAAAGCAAAATTCTCCGTTTTTTTTTCCTCTTTTTTTTAAATACCAGCGAATCGCAGACATTGTTACTAAATTCGATTCACCTCTGTTTCTCTGTGAAAGCTCGCATCCTGTCATCTAAAGTTTCTGCTCTTAAACCTAACACCCAAAACTTACAGCTACACACACGTATCCTCTCTCTTTCTTTCACAGACAGTGAAACTATTTTAGAATCTGTATTCGATCAGTTATGCATCATATCACATCACAAATGATCAATTCGATTTCAGATCTCCTGTTACGAGTGTTATCTACCGACAGGCGTTCGAATTGCATGTGACAATGAATACTTATCGAAAAGACAAAGAAAAAAATAAGCATATCGGAATGTCATTCCACCATTCTATTAACAACAGGCAGAAATAACCGAAATTTATGAAAATTTCCAGGTAAATGAAGAGAAGACTTGATACAACAGAAATTTGGTTCTACAGAAGGATGCTGGGAATAACATGGATCGAATATGTGAGTAATGAGGAAGTTCTAATGAAAAGTAATTAAAAAGTACACATACTTTGTTGTTAATGATGACGGTCGTCTTTGAGTATAGAATCCAGAGGTTAGCAGTGAATATTTCGAAGACAGTAGGAAAGCGTTGTTCAGGTTAGCAGTGGATATTTTGGTAAAAATAGCAGAGCGTAGTTCGTCCTTCTGGTTCTCTTCGCCTGACAAGCTAACACTGGACATTCGGATAGAGTAAACAAAATGGCCGCCTTTATACACGACGGATTGAATATTCTACGTCTTCTGATTGGTTAACCTTCTATTGGTGGACTATAAAGTGAGTCAAGTCATTTGGGCTAGCTCACTAGTACATAACATACACAAAAAATTGCAACATACTTAGAATTAGAAGATTTTCTAGGACACATGATGAGAAAGGAGAGCTCACTTATTATCATTAATCTTATATAACCAATATTTCGTTTAGATTACCTCGCAACAAATCCAACCATCAGAAGTAAAAATTACCAAAAATCAAGGAATTATTCACATTTAGTTAGTTTATCGGGATGAGCGCGAATGCAGACCCCACGTTTAGAAATAGCGCACCCGAGTCGCTCACATTTGGGGCGATCGCAAAAGTCAATCCAACCGGAGTGTAATGGAAGGGCCTTGCTCTAGGAAAATCTGGTGTAGATTTTAGTAAATATAAATTCTTTTTTATTTTGCTGTGAATTAATATTTTGGGATGAATTAACAGTAAGCATCTGTGCGTTGACAGTTGTAAATGTCGCGATCGAATAATCGATAAGCTACCTTTAAGAAATTTTTTTTTTTATATATATATTCATCATTTAGTACGAATATAATGGCAAAAATATAAAACAAAGAAAAAGAAAGAAAAAAGATTTGGGTGAATAAAAAAGTAAACGATAAAAATGTTTCTGACAACAAATAACTGACTCTGAAAAAAATGACATCGACATTATCAACTCATCTTGAGTGAAACAGCGACGGACAAAATATCTGAACAGTTTTGATTGGAAATAAATCCCACGACTTTCCTGGTTTTCATTTTAATGAGAATTCAACGTTGTCTTTATAGATGCCGCTCCATTCGAACGAGTCAACGAATAACTTGAATAATGGATGACAAACCTGATGAGAAAAAACGATGACAAAACGCAGGTTTATTAACGTTGTTATGGGAAAGTTATTACATTTATAAATATTCCGTCCGACGGGTAGCAAACGATTTTATATTTATTTATATGAACTCATTCCAAGACATTTTTTTTCCTTTTCTGAATTCTAAGTTCAATACTTATATGACAAGAAAGCATTTAGGCGCTTCGGTTAGCAAATTTGGAATAGTGAGTTCGATTTTGACTGGATAAGATAAACTCTTTATTACGTACTTCCAAAAAAAGCATACCACGATGAAAAAATAACCAAACTTAATAAAAACAGTTTTATCATCAAAAAGTTTATACTATTATTAAGAGGAAAGACCAAAGTATTTTTTTAATTATTTTATTAATTTTTAAACCCTTACTAGCACGTTCGAAATTATGGCTAAAAATCTTGTTTTTCTCCCGTCAGAAAACAGTTTTATCATCAAAATGTTTATGCTATTATTAAGAGGAAAGACAAGAGTATTTTTTAATTATTTTATTAATTTTTAAACCCTTACTAGCACGTTCGAAATTATGGCTAAAAATCTTGTTTTTCTCCCGTCAGAAAACAGTTTTATCATCAAAATGTTTATGCTATTATTAAGAGGAAAGACCAGAGTATTTTTTAAAATTATTTTATTAATTTTTAAACCCTTACTAGCACGTTCGAAATTATGGCTAAAATTTTGTTTTTCTCCCGTCAGAATACAGTTTTATCATCAAAATGTTTATGCTATTATTAAGAGGAAAAAACAGACCAAAAATATTTTTTTAATTATTTTATTAATTTTTAAACCCTTACTAGCACGTTCGAACTTATGGCTAAAAATCTTGTTTTTCTCCCGTCAGAAAACAGTTTTATCATCAAAATGTTTATGCTATTATTAAGAGGAAAGACCAAAGTATTTTTATTTTATTATTCTATTAATTTTTAAATCATTACTAGCACGTTCGAAATTATGGCTAAAAATTTTGTTTTTCTCCCGTCAGAATACAGTTTTATCATCAAAATGTTTATGCTATTATTAAGAGGAAAGACCAAAGTATTTTTTTTATTATTTTATTAATTTTTAAACCCTTACTAGCACGTTCGAAATTATGGCATCTAAGATTAGTATAGAACATTTTAGCGTCTTTTTGCGCTAAAAAACTCATTGATTTGGAAAATCTTGCAGAAGTCAAATAATTGTCCGGTTGAATGAAACTTTCTTGTGTAAACTATTTACATTATTCGGACTATTGTCTTCTTCTTTATTCCAACGTTTCGGCCGTTGTACGCTTCTTCAGGTGGTTGGAATGTCGAACTGAACCCTTTATTTCGCTCGCTGGGGTAGACTATTCTAGTTCTATGTGCCATGTTTAATGGATGTCAGTTATCAGTTATCTCCTGTTAATTCACCTCTCCAAGTTCTCCACTGCCTTAACCAGATATTGAACTCAACTCTTTGGGTCCTGTCACTGAATCTAACCAACGTCTTTATCCACTGTGCCATGAGTCCTTAAGAAGGCCGGAGTATAGGAATAGACCGAATAATGAAAATAGTGTACATAATACCTCATCTCAAGAAATATAGACAGATAAGTTTCTTGTGTGTCCAAGAAATTTCAGTTATCCATTTTTTGATTCAAATTATAAGTATCCTTTTTGGTTTCCATTTTCTGTAAAACTTTGTCATTGCTCACAAGATCAGTCCATAGTATTCTCAGCATCCTTCTGTAGAACCTTTTTTTTTATCGCCTCCGGTATTCTCTTCCGTCTGTGAGAAGATTGTCCAGAAGGTTACTGTCATATTGGAAATATTATATTCCAGAACAATTTAACACTTTTTTTTCTTTTTTACGAACGCAATTTTCCTTTTCCTTGATACTTTGCTAAGATTTTTTCGCTATTACAATGTGTGTTCCGATTTTGACATCGATTCAGGGCTCGCATCTTGGGCTTGCTGATGGTTAGTCCTTTCTTCTCTCTTTCCTTTTCTACCTCAATCCTGGGTATGACGATAAACTACACTCGACTGCAAGGCCTCTGATCGGGAAGAGATGGAAGAATTTTAAAAATAATTTTTGTAGATTAGAATTCGTTAGATATCCACCTGAATTCCATTTTCCAACATTGAAAAATATTATTTTTTTTTATCATTTTAAAATCGGGGTTCTGTTCATAAAATAAATACAGTATCAAATCGATCCCTGACTTCCTCAAAAGTTATCTATATTCTGTTTTTATTTAGAAATCTCATAGTCCTAGGTATAATATATAAACTACATCCGACAGCAAAGCCTCTAGTCGGGTGGTTTTGAAGAACGTGGAACCACCTCTTAATTGCTGGTGTTCCCAGGCCTACCCTGACCCGGGGTGGTAGCTCCTGTTAGGGTCCCAGCTATGGGCAAATAGTGAAACACCCAAACAAAAACA